AGAAGGCACAAAAGCTGATATGTTTTAAATGTTTATATTTTCCCCCTACAAATGCACATGATGGAATCTGTTTTGGGTTTGACTTGAAACGTAGGAAATGTAGAATGGAGTGCTTTTCATGAAATTCTGTTCATGGAAACCTCTGAGTTGTTGTGCCAGCCCTTAGGCCTGCTCTGTTTCCCTCCTGGATTTCAGTGAGGTACGGTGGCAAATGGTATCTCCAGCAAGGAGACATTATTGAATGGTGCTTGGTGGTATAAAAATGAACCATTTCTGTTACTATGGGAGAAGAGAGAACATTACTATCATCTCACACACACACACACCCATCCCAGTTCTCATGGACATTTATAAACATATTCTTGTGAATAAAATACTTTACATTGTGTGGACTGTGAGAAAAGTTAAATCAGCCAATTTTTAACTTTCCAGTTGGTTTGGATATCCGAGACAAATCATTCTGTTCCAGGCTGGGCTCTGTAGGCTCTTGAAATTATAGAAATGCTGGAAGATAAGCAGCAGAGCTGAGGTCTTGTTTTGGGTATTTTTGTAGCACTTACAGATTTAGTTCCATAGGAATGTGTATATTTAACCTGACATATACACAACAGACCGGAAGGATTTTTTTTTTCAACTTGTGTAGCTCTTGACTCCTAGAGATAATTTAAGACTATAAGAGTATTGCTTCTTAAACTTTTATTTTTGGAACCTCTTAATCTATTTGTAACAGAGAACAAGGTCATAGAGTCCCTACAAGCTTTATCCTTATTTCCTGCAAATCTTATTACTGTTCTGGAGCACAAGCAGCCAGTTATGTCTTAGTCCTGGACATGCTGGTAAGATCCAGAGGCGCTACCTATCGTGACAGGGAGACAGTGAAATGTGGTGTTAGCAGTGTCTCTGCCAGGACAGGTTTCCAGCTCAGTGACTGCATGCCACAGGCAGTGCAGTGTTAGCAACAAAAAGCCCTTTGAACAAGGGAAAAGGTCCCTTCATGTGGTCACCTGTGTTGTACAGTAGCAATAAAGTAGCTGGCAGCTGGCGAAGCTGGCTTTTCCTGTTTGCTGCTTGACTCCAAGAAGCAGCAGCTGATGATCCCAGCAGAGCCACAGGGCTACACTGCTGATCAGGGTCAGGATTTTGATGAGGAAGGAGCACTTGGCAGGATGAATTCCATGTGGGATCCTGCTCACATTGCCCTCTGTTATACTCTCAGGCACTCCTAAATGTAGCAAGGCATCCAAAATCCTTAGGCAGGTACCCAGAACAGACTGGGCAAAGCATACGGGTAAGCAACAAAGGGAAAGCTGAGAGGAAAGTACGGAAAGCCTTGGATCAAGTTGCAGAAGCACTTGAAAATGCCAAATTGCATATTGAGAAACTTGATGTTCATATAGGTATTTTTCTGGAATTTAGTAATAAATTAATAATACAATAATAATTTATAATGCAATATTTCATTTCTCGCCTTCCAGAAAACGTGATGAAAAATAATGTAGTTTGTGATCACCTAAAAATTATCACTTCTGTTTGACCATTTGAAGGAAAATAGGAAACAACCTGGCTATGTATGTTTTTTCAGGGGAATGGTATTTTGTCAGAGGACATTCCTATAAACCACCTAGATCAACAGATATCAACAATATAATTAGCCTATTTTTTTAATTAGTAAGTGGAAGATTGAGAGCAGTTACTGACTCAGGTTTGTTCTGGGTCATCAACTGCTCAGTATTTTGCCAGGTTATTGAGAGGGGAAAAAATAATTAAGATGCTAATTTAATGTGGATCATGCAAATCTAAAATTTCCAAACAGTTTGTAAGATGTAAGATATGTAAGGAATATAAAGCTAATGTGTTTCCATGGTAAATGAGTAAAAATAATTGCCTGCACTGTATTTTCTGAAAAACAGCTTTATAGTGTGGGGGAGAGGTAGGCTTGTGTAGACTTGGTTAAAAACAAGGATATTTTGACTTCTGGGCAGAGCAGCCAATTACAAGATATTAGGAAAGTAGGGCACACAGTGAAGCATTTGCAGCAAGGGAGCGCTGCAGGATTTTTGCTGAGGGGACATTTCCACAAGGCTTAATGACTGGGAATCCCTGGTAAATAAGAAGGGAACAGAAGAGCCATGTGGGTTAAATGTTACCAAGCACTCAGGCACTGAACCAAGTTACAAAATCATTTTCCCTAGTGAAACCAGACGTGGACTGTGAAAGGTGTTCCTTGTAAGTGACCTGTGGGTAAGTTTTGCACAAATATAAGGTCCTCCAGGAATGTTTCTGAAGGATTTCCAAAATGTGGCTTTCCTAATTTGAGGAGCTAATCTTATATATATACATTTATGTATAAAAGTATATATACAGGAAAAATAAATAGAAAATTGTAATTACATATTAATTATGTGTAATAATTATAATTAATACCTACATTAACTATAATTAACATACAACAATTACATGTAAATATGTCTTGGGTGCAGATTCTTTTAACCTAACTTCTGTTGTGAACTGGCAGCTAATATCCTGAAAACCCCTGCTGCTCAGTTATTGGTATTTGCATAAATCGTTTATCACTCCTCCCACTGGTTCTGCAGCAGGGCTGGGCTGAACATTGCCGTGCTGTGTCCCAGGGCACATGGGAGCTGCTCCTGCTCCACCAGGAACAGCAGGGGGCTGCCCCAGATAGATGAATAGCTCCTTTTTTCTCCCTCTCCAGCAGTACAATCTAACAGACTTGAATGAAAGTTTAATTTACACCAAAGCTTCCTGGCTGCTTCAGTAATTTGTGAAGTATCCACATCATCTGTAGGTTAACTTTTTGCTTCCCAGCTCTCAAAGAGCTGGGTACGTGTCCAGTTGTGTTCCTGAGAGCGTGACATTTACTGTGCTGTACAGATTAAAAATAGCAGCTGCTGCTGCTTTCAGTGTATCAGATGATTGCAGCAGAGCGAGTGGGCTGCTGGCCTTCCTCCTGAGGACATTTGCCAGTGGTAACTTGAAGATTTCAGTACTCACTTGTTTCAGGAGCACAGATAAAGAGGAAAAAATGGTTTGTGGATGTATGAGAGGACGAAGGATAGGAAGGGGAAAGGGCTTGTTCTGCCACTTGTTATTTGAGATGTGACGATTTCACTTGCATTAAAGCAGCAAGTGAAAAAATAAAAAAATTAAAAATAAAAAAGTATTACATTAAAAAATATGTACTCAGCCAATTAATGTTACTGTTACTGCATTCCAGTTCAAAATGAGCACAGCACTAAATACAACATATGCAGAAAGAGAGGATTTTGTGTTGGTACTGTGGTCATGGTGTGTTTTCAGTACACTTTTCCATGGGATTTTTTGTGTTTAAGGTGTTGGAGCTTTCCCTACAAGCAATTGAAAGGCAGATGGTTAAAGAATTTTTTGAGTGGCACTGACTTGTTAGGTCTGTAGAGGAGTTTTACATCTCAGTCTTCAGGGAGAACTCAGACAGAAAGCTAAGTTCCTAAAGATTGAATATGATGCTCTGTAGTACCATTAAAAACTTCTGTAGGTGTTCTAGAGTTTGGACAGAACAAATGTAGAGCAAATAACTCATGGGGTGGGATGTCTGTTCAGGTAAACCATTGGCACAGGAAAGAGTGGAATATTGAACTGCTCTTGTGACATTACAGGAAGTTAAGTGGTTACAGATGTCCTGCATAGTTTGGACGCATTTTTAAACTTACCTGTGACACTGGGAGGCTTTATTAGATTATTTCAGGCAATAGACTTTGCTCTGATTCCTTCACCTCTGTATGAACCATTGGCCTGTGCTGTGTGTCTGGGGCCATTGGTAGAAGCCAGTTAAGACAGAGAAACCTGAATTGCAGCTTTCCAGAATCAGTGGAGGAAAGGAAGGCATAGAAAAGCACTTGTGTTACCACTGATTTCTTTCCATAAACAAAGGTTAACAACATAGGTCTTGTCAGCAAAGTGCTCATGAACTATAAAAAGTTGCTTCCCAGGACTGGAGCAGCCAAATCCAGCTCAAATATTTCTGTCAGCATATAAACCCAAAATACGAGTTTCTTAAACATCTGTGTAATTCTTGTGTCATACTGGGGCATTTGAATACTTATGAATTTAAACATTTTTTCTTTCCTTAAATATACCCAAAGCTACTCCTTTATAAAGCTGAGATGCTTGTTATTCTGCCTGCACCTTGGTAATGAAATTGCTTACCCTGACAAACAGGCTGTGGACTGACAGCCAGAGTGCTCTATTGTTCTTAATTGGGAATTTACCAGTTACTGCAGTGACCCCAAGTGCAGGAATGTAGGTCTTATTTCAGTCCCTGTCTTGCAGGTAAATTAAGTAGGAAGAGATGTTGCCTGAGCAATCTGTAATTCACTTCGTTTCAGAATTATTCAATGAAAAATGGGATTTTCTTGACTCAGAGAGAGGAGAGAAAAACTCCTACCTTAATGGCTAGGTCACTCCTGAGAAGATGGGGAGTGTCCAGCATCTCTGCACAGCCGATGCTCTGAGGAATTTGCGTTTCTAGTTTGACTGGACCTGGTCTAAAGGCTACAGGTTATTGTGGTGGTTTGGGTTTTGTGTTGCCTCTCTGGGTGTTGTGTGGACTGGGAGTTGTGCAGCCCCCCACACAGGAAGGAGGTGGTGGTAATACTGAACTGTTTAAACTTTTGTAGATTAAGCTAGCAGTCAAAAACCACCTAAACAATCCTTCCTTGGGAAGGAAGAATGCATTGCCAAAAAACATCAGAGAGAAAGAAGATACTTCAGTAGGCATGAATGAATGAAGTGTTTGTGTGGAGGGATCAGTCTGGCTGAAAAAGCAGCGCTCTATGACCACAGTGCAGAGATCTTTGTGCTGTGGGTTAATTTACTTCACCTAGGGATTCCTAGGCTCAGAGTGCCTTTATATTCAGTGTTCAGCTGCAGAGGACATTCTCTTCAATTTCATGAAAGGATTATGTGCACAGATTCCTGAGTTTTGATTTCTTCTCTCCAAGATTATTACAGTCCTGCAATGTTGGGCCTGAAAACTGATCAGGAAGTCCTTGGAGAACTTGTGAAAATGAAAGTTCCAGCTGTGGCAGAGCTGATGGAAAGACACGGAGTCATGTGGACCCTAGTGGTGTCACGCTGGTTTATATGCCTGTTCATTGACATCCTCCCAGTGGAGGTAACTGGTAACATAAAGTTCTCTTACTACACCCCTGTTTGTTTCATTTGTACTGCTTTAGTAATTGCTTACTGGAAACCAAGGTTAATCTGAATTCTCTCCTTTACTGCAGACTGTGCTCCGAATATGGGATTGTTTATTCTATGAAGGGTCAAAGATCATCTTCCGTGTGGCCTTAACATTGATTAAGCAAAACCAAGCTTTTATTTTGGAAGCCACGAATTTCCCTGACATTTGTGATAAATTTAAGCAGATCACCAAAGGAACATTTGTAACAGAGTGTCACAGCTTCATGCAGGTAAATTCTCTTCAGCTTTTAGTCATTCCAAATTAAAACCAAGACTGACTTAGAAATGTTTTTCACTGAGCAAAAGATGGATACAGTTAGGAGAAACCTAGCTGTTAGGATTGTTTTTTAAATAAGAAACTCAAACCTTTCTAATACATATATTAAATAATTTATATTTAGTAATTATTATCAATTAAATATTAATAGTTATCTAATTCCATATATAGAAATCCATCCACATTATCTGTCATACAGGGGAAAAAAATTCCTTTTGCCCTTTTTACCAGTTAAGGCAGGAAGTCTGATGAGAATAAAATTTTAGTGCATTTTTCCAGTGAACTGTGGATATTGACCCTGTGCAGTTCACTTTCAGATGAACTGAAAATACAGTATTGTAGAATAAGCACAAAGTGAATTTTAAATTTGCACTGGTAATTGGCTGTAGTGCCTGAACACACAGAATTCTGTTTAGAACAAGATGGTGCTGGCAGGTTCTTATTTCCAGACAGAAACTCATCAAGTTGAAGGTCCAAGTGCTATGACAGTCTGCAAGCTAAGAAATTGCAGTGAGCAATTTCTTTTAAATTATTTACACAGTGGGTGCCACATCAGTATAAAACATTAGATTCAGGGCTTATCTCAGGAGCTGGAAATATAAAAGGTGGTAGCTGCAGAACAAGTAACAGGAGCACATCTGTCATAAATCACTTGGTCAACTCCACTGTCATTGTTTGCTCAGTGTGCACAAACCCACGTCCTGGAGGGTCACACTTACCCCTCAAAGTGTTTCATGCGCACGGCACATCTCTGTGCCTAGGTCAGTCACAGTAGGCTGTCACTTACACTTTCATTATTGTTCATATAGAAGAAAAGTTAGCTTAACTTACTGACACTTTGAAGTCTTTTAATTAAAGGAGCAAGAGAAAAATCACAGGTACAGCTTTAATTTAGAAGGAAGATGTGTGAGGGTTTTTTCCATTCCATAAACAGTTTAGAATAAGAATTTTATTAAACGTTAACTGCCTTAAGAACACCTGTTCAGAGGCTGATGCTAACACTTGTCCTTGAAGGACTTCCCCCCCCCCCCTTTAATTATGTTAAATTTTACACCAGCTATTTTTAGAAAATCAACCACCTTTTTCTTGCAGTTACCTTGAGTAAAAGCATTTTAACTGTTATTTATTGTAGTAATGGGGCTTTGAAGACAGATAAACAATTTAGGTTTATCTTCTGTAACTTTGAAACTTTTGTGCTTGGATGTTTGTTGGGTTTTTATCAGCAGTACAGGTGTTAGTAGCAGTAGAGGTGATGGCAGGTATCTTTGTGCCTCCTCCCCAGAAGAGAACCTTAGCCTTCAGTTTGAAGGTTTCTTTGCCAGAAAGCTGTTCTGAACTGGTTCAATTACAGTCTCATCACTGGAGCTGTCATATAACAGCTCCAGAGAACTGAGGTGCCCACACACCTTAACTGTAGCTTAAAGTGCATAAATCTGGAGCTTTGCTTCAGTTTTGTTCACTCAGAAGTTCTAGGTGAAGTAGTGGAAACAAATATATTGTTCTGTAACAACAAGTGAAAACAAAAGAAAAAAACTAACTGAAGATGCGTGCTAGCATTCAGCACCCACCAAGTCCTTACATCCATATCCATTACTGCTCTGGGAAGCCTGGTAGAGAAGAGGAGCAAAGGTAGTGTGTCCTGAAGGATTAAAACTGATTTTTTGCAGTAGGAAGACACCGGTTTCTTTGTGTTCCAGAGCCTGAACCACCTCTGCTGGCACCACACAAGAAGTGCACTAGTGCTGTGTCACATTACCCAGGACAGATTAATATGTTCTAAATCTGCCACTTTCTACCACCAGCCATCTAAAATAATCTCAACTGGACACACATTCAAACCCAGTTTTCTATTTGTGCAACTTACTGCACTTGTTATGAGCTGCAGGTTTACTGTGTGCTTACAGCCCAGTAGATGAAGATGTTACCCTGTTACAGGCAGGCCAAAGAGCAGTGAGCAATTTCACAGTGTGGACATGGAAGCAGGGATTTGACACCTCAGAGAATTTTAGCATGCTGTCCAAAGCCAGCATTTTAACTAACAATTTTCTTCTTTTGCCCTCAGAAAATATTTGCTGATCCTGGAAGCTTCTCCATGGCAACAATCAACAAACTCCGAGAGACTTGCAGGGAGAAGGTGCTTTCTCAGGGATAAATGCCAGATGTAACCAGGTGGTCAGATACTACAGCAATTGACACATTCCTCTAGTTGCACTGATTAAAGCACACTTTAAGTTTTCCATGAATTAATTGACACTTGACCAATTTTTCCTGCCTTTTAAGTAAGTGTGTTAACACTTTGTACTGTATGTCAGATTTGATAACTGGAACTGGTGGTTCTGTTACTGTTTGTTGGTGGTGTGTTGTTTTTATTTTTTAAGGATTAAGGTATCTTCAGACTAGAATGTGATCAATGTCAGGAGGACCCTCCTTTTAAATAAATAATCCCAGGGAATTTTGTAATATTAAAAGCAAACAGATGTAAAAAATTATGTATTACTGTGTTAACTGTGACACTATTACCATTTGTACAAAATAAATTAATTTAATTTGTCAGAACCTGTTTCATGGTGTAGAGTAAATTATGTGATCTGAGTCCTGTCAGTCATCGGATGGAATACAAGCATCTTTTTCCTCACTGCTCTCACTTAAGGAACTCAAATAGAGCAAAGTACAGGGCAAGAGAGCAATCAGTGATCATCACTAGCAGTTGATCTATGCAGTGTGAGATGGAGCAGCTGTAGTGCAGTTCTCCCACACCCGTGGCCCTAAAAATTTGAGGAGAAACATTTGTAAAGACATCCACGAATAGACTTCTTTGACAGGGAAGACACGGCGCAGTTCCTAAGTCTGTATTGGCACCGGGCCACTTCCAGCCCTGCTGGGGCCAGGAGTCTGGGAATTGCTTTCCTGTCCGTACAGAGCCCTCTCGTGGCCAAATTCTCTCCTTCCAGCTGGGGAAACGAGAGACAACTGGAGCACTTTGTGGGGTTTTATGTTCCATGTGCAACAACTACTTTGGAAAGCCTCACCTTAAACAGCACTCCAAGCTCTCTTCATTCCTCGTGCAACGTGGCTTCCCCCTGGCTTGCACATTGAGATTTTTTCATTCCTCAGCAGAAAAAAAATTCCCCTTTTTCAGAGGAAGTAGAGGATTGCTCTTCTAGACAACTCAAGACTGTTACTCTGCAGTGACTCTGAGCTGTCCTATCCTTTATGGTACCAGGTATACACTTTTTCCTCAAGTACTGAATTATGAGGACAGTAGCAGTAACATACTCCTAGCATGGCAGCAGGTATTGGGAAACACTATTGACTCCTAGGAAAATTCAGCTTCCAGTTACCTTCAAATCATGGGGCATTGGTCCAAAGCCAGCCTTGCTGCCCTGCATTAGGGTCCCTTGGTCAGGAGTGTTCTGTGCAGTTCCTGCCCTGCAGAGCTGGTACTGCTAACACCAGAGCCTCCTTGCAGGAGGGAGTCAGGGAACCTTTAACACCAAGGTTCGTTTCCAGCACATAACTAAGCACACAGCAGGTGTGAGTTTCCTACTTTGTGGTAAGAGGCCAACTTCAGAATCAAACATGAAATGTCATTTACAGTCCTTAGAGCCTTAGCAGCACTGTCAGAAAGTGAGGCTCAGGCAGGCAGACCAGTATAGAGACATGTCTCAGAAGTGACACTTTAGAGTTAACTCCTCCAGGTCTCAGGTTACCAACACATAGCTTTCCTTGTTTCCAAACACAAAGAGCAAAGCGAACCTGATTCCAACACACACTCACAGATTAAGGTTTTCCTTTGTGCCACAAAGAAAAAACTTAAGCACTTGTTTAACTCCACACTAATGATTGTCTCAAGCTTCCCAAGTATTGCCAAACCATGACTTCAGCCCTCAACAAATAGTTTTAAGAGTGATCAGCAATACTAAGAAATACAGAAAAAAAAGTGTCTTTATTAGCATTGTTACAGGCAATGCATACATAAGAACTGATCCTTAAAGTGTACAACCCCCCAGCCAAGTTTAAAGCAAGAGAATCAGCAGATTGAGATCTATATTGTACACATGTGCAGTAACAGGATCTCTCAAAACCTTCCAACAGAACAGACTGAAATAACTTTACAAAAAAAAGTAAATAAAAATAACACCCATTTTAAAAAAGTACCAGCTCCTGACAAGCTGGCAGAGCATCAAAAATATCAAACAGGGGAGTTGTCCAATCATAAAGAGTTCCTGTAAGGTTTGAGTATTGCGTCTTTCACACCCTGCATGTGCCAGGCATTGAGTTTAAAGCTTAGTAAAAAATACACACCTAAGAGACAAGGTGAAGTTCAGGTTTTAGATTTCAATTTCGTCAGTTGTTACTAACATTTTTTCAAATGCATCATCAATATACTTAACATCATCGCTCAATGGCAGCGGTGCAAATAATGAACCTTTTCCCTTTGTTAAGAGTTCTGAAATTGAGTCAGAGTTAGCAACATCCCTCTCTGGAATCTGTAGCTGACATAATCTTAGCCAATTCCAAAAAAGCACCCTTAAAAACTTTTAGCTTGTTTCTAAGTGGGTAAATATTAAAACTAGTTAGCAAAATTAAACACCAGAATCTTCAGAAGTTATTTTTGTGCATAGTTAAATGCTGCAAGATGATTTCACATTTAATAAAGCAGACTTTAAAGAAGCAATTTGCAAGAAAAGATGTTACCTTACAATATCAACCAGTTCAGGGGAAGTGTAGGGGGATTTTTTCCCCGAGCCTCTTGCAATTGCTTTTCATCTATGCTGGATTTTAGTGCAAGTAATTAAATTGTTTGATATCCAGCATGGCTCCTCTTTCTGCCAATCAGGTAAGCAATCAAGACAATTAGAACAAGACCAGCAAGGGCTGCACCAACTATTATAGGGATCAGCATGTTATTTTCATCCAGTTGACATTCTTCCACTGAAGAGAGAGAAAAAGATCCATGTTAGGTACCAGTGCACCAACAGATGGCTACATGCAGAACTTCAGCATTCTGCTCTCAGCACGTCAATAAAACTGGCCCAGCTAGCTTGTCAACAGTGAAAAGGAAGCCAGGTCCACTAACTATGATCATTCAGCATGAAGTCTTTCTAGCACCAGCTGTATACACAATATGGAGATTATACTGATTGTTTCCTCCTCAAGAGCTGTTAGTTATACACAAATTTAGCCATCATAAATATCCACATGACCCTTCCCACAGTTATTTTGCTTTCATCATAGTCACAGGGGACAGGTTTGCCCTTTCACACAACTGTCTGCACACAGTTTGGAGGGAAAGGTAGCCCCTTCCTTAACTCTTCTGTGGACCATCAGGAACAAGTCCAAGTTGTTTCACAGCTTTTTACATACTTCTCCCACTAGCCTCAACTTGGACATCTTAATCAGCCCCCACATCATCTCTAGTGGGGCATGCAGAGGCTAAGCATAGCACCCACAAGCTGACATTTGACTACAGAATGTTGTATTTATATCTAAGTATACTTCACAAATCTTGGATATTTGACAGGGGCTGCCAAATGCAAACCTCTTACCTGGCCCAAATTTGTCTCCATCAATCTTGAAAATCTGGACCTGAACATTAAACACATTGAGAAGGGCTTGGTCCGAGACCTGCAGATTCTCCTCAGAGCTGCACTTGTAGGAGTTCCCTACTGAAGCTCTCAGCTCACTCATACTGTTGTTTGATGCTTCAAATTTTGGATCTGTGTAAGAGAAACTCTTATTAATAAAAATCTTATTAAGAGAAACTCAATTAATTATATAAATCTGAAGAGCAGGAGCTATAAGCTCATAGAGCCACAATTTGATACATTCATCCCTAACATTTCTCATACATTATTTAATGCAGGCTACCCTTAACATTTAAAGAAGTAGTCACAGTAGATTTTTTAGAAGTCCTTACTTTTTGCTTCAGAAGGCAGGGTTGTGCTTACACTCACACCTTGCAGGAAGAATTTTTCAGCACTTGCATTCTTAAAAAAAACACAAAAACCAACAAATCAGTAGTTGTCATTTAGGATGATGATGAACAAAATAAGCTGTTCAAGTTCCAATCTGCATGCATTTTGAGAAAGGTTTTTAAAACGTAGACCACAAATGGGATTAGCATCCAGAGGAGGTGTTTAGTTGGACTTTAGGAGAGAAAAGCTACAGAATGTATGCACCTTAAGGAAGATTATTTTGTGAGAGGGCAAAGAGACAGAGAAAGGAGGCCCTGACACCCCTAAACTGTTGAATTCCACATTGCAGGCATAGTCCCACCCATTGCTTAAGCAGCCTACTTGCAGTGAACCTGGTACCCCACAGAGCTGTGGAGTCATTTAATAGCAACAGCTCAACATGATCAGCATAAAAAGGAACATGAAGCTCTGACAAACAGTGGATTCAGTCCTCAAAGGTATGCAGCTCAATACAGCACCTGGGGCAGGGCTGTGGGAAACAGCATTCCCAACCATCACAGGAGACCAGAAGACAAGCACACTTGGCCTTTGGGCTGTACACAGAATATTAATGAGAACTTAAACCCAGCTCCAGGCTTAAAATTAGATTAGATGCCCACTTGTCACAGGCTGCTCCCAGTTTCAGCAAGAAGCCTTAAAGAGTAAGCAACACAATCTTCAAGGAAGTTCCCACTCCAAACAAAATACTTTTCTGTGTACGTGTGCATATATACACAAACACATTCTTTTCACACAATGGTAACCATGCATAAAACCTACTAAATCCTAGTATTAAAACCAAAGAACTAGTTACTCTCTTTGTTGCTGTCTTTTTTTCTCTTGCCCTTGCCCCAGTTAGTTTTCCCACATGGAAAGTGCTGCAGACCCTTGGTGCAAAGATTCTTACCAAGGCAAACTGGAAGATAACCCTCGTTTTCTCAAAAGTCAGGTTCAACAAGGCAGATGTATTGTCACATCTCCCAGAAGAAGTTGTATTATGTGGTACGAAATTCAGCAACTCCAAACCCATCTGTGAGAGAAGAGGAGCAATTATGACACTTGAAGGGACTGAGCACAACACCTTACACTCAGCTGAGGTGTGGCTGCCTTGTGTGTGGTGCCTACAGGGTTGTGTTTGCCCTGTGCTCCAGACCCCAGGGCAGACCCACAACTAAAGCTGGCACACAACTAACAAAGGGCACATCCAACAAAGCTTTCTGCAGCCCTGACTGGCTGCAGGCAAGAACCCAACTGCTTTCTCCACACAAACTGCTTGGGTCCTTGTGGCGTAAGAAAAAACAAGAACAACCACACCACACAGAGGGCAAGATGCTATAAAATATTGCTTTGACATAAGGTAGAAGCAATTAAGGGGACCACCAGTCAGCAAATCATCTTGCATGTCATTTCAGTTCAAAATGTTTTACTTTTGTCCATGGTTCATGATTTTATACTGTCTTGCATCTGCAGAAGGCTGTGGGTTAAATGCCACTTGTCAAACAATTAAATAGAAACCCTTTCAGTAGCTCTTAGCTGATCCTCATGTGACCAGAAAACCTACCTGCCACCTCCTCACTGGTCATTACACTAGGAATCCACCAGAAGCAGAACACCAGATTCAGGGAATTTCACACAATTAAGGTGGCTAAAACACAGTTACCATCACAACAAGCCACTGCACAGCCACACACCACCTATAAGTGATCATGATTTTACCTTTCAGTCATCAACATCATAAATAAATGCAGTAGCACTGTTTCCTGTTGGGGGCATTCAACTGTCCTTTTAGGACTCTGG